AAATCTATATTGTGGTATGTGTGGCATGGTGCTCAGTGGTTAGCACTGTCTCCTCGCAGCAAGAAGCTCACTGGTTCGAGTCCTGGCTAGGCCTATTGGCATTTCTATGTGGAGTTTGCCTGTTCTCCACGTGTCCTCCAGGTGCTCTGTTTTCCCCCACAGTCCAAAGACATGGTATAGGTTAATTGGATGAACTGGCCATAGTGTTTAAGTGTGTGTTTCCCATTACTGGGTTGCATCTGGAAGGCCATCCATTGTCTAAAACATATGCTGGAATAGTTGGTGGTTCATTCCGCTTTGGTGACCTCTGATAAATAAGGGACTGAGCCGATCAAAAATAAATGTGGATCACATTCAGAATCTAGTATATAGGTAAGTAATGATTCATTTGCATTAAGTCAAAATAAGGACAATTATTTTTTCTCAAAGTATACAAATAAAGGAATGAATGATTTTTTTAAAAAATTGTAAATGATTTGATTAATCAGTTATCACTTGGGTTGTTTCTTAATAAATCAGTGCTCTTTAACAAATTAATTAAGTAAATGACTCAATGAATCGACCACTGGCTAGTTGTAGAGTGTTATTCCAAATTCAATCAATAAAATAATTTCAATCACATGACATAAATTGAGGTTTTATATAAATCAAATGAATGAATGATTCTTGTGACACACACATAAAAATTGTCATTTGTTTCATAAATTTTTTTTAATGGTGGCTTAGTGGTTAGCACTGTCACTCGCAGCAAAAAAAAAAGGTTGCTGGAACAGGTGGCATTTCTGTGTTGAGTTTGCATATTCTCCACTAGGCTTGGGCCGATAGACGGTGCCATCGTCCATCACCGATGGCCAATAGACAACACGATGCTGAGCCGGCATCCCCCATCCTCTGCCCTGCCCCCGTTGCAAACCCGCTCGCGAAAAACACACACTTCGGCCCCATTTACACTAATACGTCTTAGTATTAAAATGGCATTTTAGAACGAAAATGATCCACATCCACAACGTGTTTTAGCCAGCATTTCTGAACTGCCATCCGTCCACTGAAAACACACATCATGTGACCACACACAGCCACACACAGACAAAGCCACACACACTCTCATGCGCTCATTGGACAGTCTATCAAGGATGTACCGCTGGATCGTGTCTCACTATAGTTATTAATCGTGATATTTAATTAATCTTGTCTCTATCTAACGACTCTTCACTCTTTCGAATCTATCAGGTAACGTGTCACAGCATCAGTACACTGCTTCAATCTTTCACTTTCACACTTGTACTTAGTAATTTTAGTGAAAAACTCAGATACTGTTGGTTGTGCACCTTTTTTACCCATCAACCTTTCGCAGAAAAAGTGATTGACAGGTGGTAATTTGTGTGCAACTTATCTTTAATTATTTATGATTTATTTATGGGTAAAACAAAGACCATGCGGGTCAGGTAGTTGAAACGGTAGGCTACAAATAATGCATTCGTTATGAATTAATTAATTATTCATAAATTATTAATTTACCGGGCGACGCAGTGGTGCAGTAGGTAGTGCTGTCGCCCCACAGCAAGAAGGTCGCTTGGTCGCTGGTTCGATCCTTGGCTCAGTTGGCGTTTGTGTGTGGAGTTTGCATGTTCTCCCAGCGTTCGCGTGGGTTTCCTCCGGGTGCTCCGGTTTCCCCCACAGCCCAAAGATATGCAGTACAGGTGAATTGTTATAGGCTAAATTGTCCGTAGTGTATGAGTGTGTGTGAATGGGTCTATGTGGATGTTTCCCTGAGATGGGTTGCAGCTGGAAGGACATCCGCTGCGTAAAAAAATGTGCTTGTGAAGTTGGCGGTTCATTCCGCTTTGGCGACCCCGGATTAATAAAGGGACTAAGCTGACAAGAAAATGGATTAATTAATTAATTCACCTCCGCCTATGACAACGATGCCATCGTCCATTGCGATGTTTCATATTAGACATCGTACGATGCCAAATTGGCCAACATCGCCAACATCGCCCAACCCTATTCTCCATGTGTTAATTCATGGGTTTTCTCTGGGTACTCTGGTTTCCCCCACAGTCCATAGGCATGTGGTATAGGTGAATTGAATGAATTAAATTGTCCGTAGTCTTTGAGTATGTGTGTGAATGATAGTGTATGGGTGTTTCCATAACTCGGGATTCACAAGTTAGTGCACCCTCAGTGCTGGGTTGTGGCTGGAAGTGCATACTGTAAATTATATGCTAGAGTAATAGGTAGTTCATTGTGGCAACCCCTGATATATCAAATATCATTTTGATTTTAGCCAGTAAATCATACCCTAAATTAGTTTTTTTTTTTTATTCTCAAACAAGTTTTTACTTTCAACTTTTACATTTTTTGGGATTCATATTAATTTAAAAGGTGTCTTTAAAAACAGATTGATGGTTTCAGATATCACTGAATATCAGCTAGTAGCAGATTCAGTGATTTTGAATGGATCACTTGAATTAGTTATTCAAACTCATAAAGAGATTCACTTGTTTCATTCTTTAATACACTAGCACTGATTGAATGTTTATGTGACTGTTTGGAACATTTGGATTTATTAGTTCCTGGATAAATCATTTTTAACAGACCTATTGATTTGGTGAGTCACTCATAATTATTGATTATTAATTATTAATCACCAATTATTGGTGTGATGAACATGCAGAAAGTCACTGAAATTATGAATAAACATTAGACTAATGGTTTATTTGAAATTGTGTAAATACAGATGAAGAGTGAGGAAAAATGAAACAAAACAACTTGCCTTTACAGGTGACATCACTAAGGCCAATCAGCTGGATAGTCCAATGGCTATATGCTATTTTAGCAAATTGGAATTACATTTCTATTCTACTATGCAACAACCATATTTCACAATCCAATTAGATCCTTTTCTCCCCAATTCATCTCCTGGTTCACTCTTGGAGAGCACAGTGTATTTTAGCATTAAAAAGTGACACATTTCACCTCCAAGCCCAAAATGTTGTTCTGCCTGGACACTAATTGGAGCATGTAGAGACACACACTGCCACACGTCCCTCACAGGTGGACACACATGAGGCATATGCAGGGGAGGGGACGCATGAACCCCGGGCTGACAGCTTTACAGTCCACAACTACCATCTGTCACAAACCCAAGACCCGACAAACAACACAGGGACTTTTTCAGTGGAAAAACAGAGCAGTGCCAAAAAAGTGTAGAAGAAAAAAAAACTTGTTAGCTCTAGTACAGCACTTGGGAAGACAGATGGTGAGAGAGAAATTTCATTCACTAGCTTGCATCCTAAAGCTTCAGCCCTTCCTTTGTGCCACACATTTCATCATGGCATCATTTAGAGCACCAAACTGAAAAGAAGAAAAGTATAGGGACGAGGGAGCAGCTGAGCCCTTTTTCAGCAGGTACCAACTTGCTATCCTGGTTCACTAGCTGACTTACAAAAGGGCTTTTTCCATGGCCTAAGTAAAATGGCTTTGGCTAGCTTTTAGGGGCTTTGTCTCAGGCAGCATCCAAAAGATTAAACCAGGCATATCAGTCGCTTTCATGGCACTTTGAAACAGAAGCAGACAAAATAATGAGCCGAGGATTCTGGGTTTGTATAAGAATTTGTCACTTTCTATCGAACTGCGCATAGGAGCGATTTGAACAATGTTGGCATTTGTTAATTTAGAACCAAATTGTGTACTAAAATCTAAATTAGTAGACACTAAATTAAATTTCAAGTTAGCATTGGACACATTAGTTGGAAGTTAGCATCCTTCTTCAAAGAGCAGAACCCTTGAAACAAGTTCTTTGAAGGTTGTAGGGCATTACTACAAACAAAACATTGGCAGATATGATTCGGTTATAAAACGTTTTTCGTTCACATTTAGCACTCAGTTGTTGCAAATAAATATTTAGTAGTAGTAGTAGAAGTAGCAGACATACTAGTAGTATTACCAACCTCTTTAGTCATGATACTTAATAATTCTATTGTTGCAAGCTTTGGATTACACTCTAAAATGGCCTCCCCTTCTAGTGCTTATCAAGGGTGGAAAGGAGTTGTTTTAAAACCTCTAAACACAGCCATAGACACATTTCTTCTACATCCCATTTTCTCTATATAGTATTTAACTAGTTTCCAATAATTAGGAAATGTACAATAATAAATTTAAAGTCTCAATAGAGTCGGTAGATTTGAACTTTACTGACATCTATTGGCCTGTATGAATGAGGTTTACTAATTGTTGAAGTTAAGTAACTAATTACACCAGTGTGTAGTCTTTGATGTGTGTTATTAGTGGTGGTAGTAACTTGGCAAATTCCATAACATCTTTATGCATCATAACAGCACCCATGAAATGGCAGAGATTCATATAAAATACAACAGCTTTTTCTAGAAGACTATGATATGACTCCTACACACACACACACACACATTCACCAGTCACCAGAATGAAATGAGCCACACAATCTTCCAGAGTGCTTTTGAAAACCAAACATGAGAAAGACTCATTGTAAGATTCGTTGTAATATACTGTACACGTGAGTTTAAGTTTGATTTAGTCCATATGTGACTATATTCAGAGACACTAAAAGCATGAACTTAGTAGCTAGTTGTTACTTCAACATCACAAAAACAAAAAACAGCAGTCTTTATAATTTTACTTAAAATACAACACTTGGTTAGGTATGAAGCTATAATTATAAAGCATATTTGCCTGCATTATTGTATGACGAAACAATTCAGTAGAAAATAAAAATAACAATAACCTAATTGCCAAAACGTAGCTTATTTTAAAATAACAGCTTTGTCAACTTTGTAATAAATGCCGGTTAGCTATATGAAAGTTTAAAGTTTGAACGTCAAGTTCAGTCGAAATACGCTTGGTGAACAAACACTCAGCGCATTACGCACTTCCAGAGCATTATACACAAACTAACCACTCACAATACCACAAACAATTGAAACAATATCAGGTAACACAGAAATCATTGATGCTTTACGTACCTGTGTTACTAAAGAGTGCGATCTGCGCAAGAAAGAATGCGCATCTCGTCGCAAGCGCTTCCATTATTCTCAAAATAAGGAGAAATGCTGCCTGAAAGAGTAAACGGGGTAAAGACGAGCGCGACAACAGAGGAACTCCTCTCCCGGAGTGCCGGAGGGTATCACATTGGTTGGGTAACAGGAGGAGATGCCCCCTTCATCGGTCAGATCCACTCCGCTCTCCTCCGCATGGATGTGAGAGCGTCCGGATGAAACGCATCGCTTCGCGTACAGTGAGTTTCGCTGGAAGTGCGCGCGCCGCCCACAGACCACCACACACAGAGAGAAAAAGTTTAGCAACACGTTCGACGAGATCGTGTATTAGGCTATGATACATATATGTAAATATGACTGTAGTCAGTCATTTCTTTTCATAAATAATTACACCCACAGGCTATAATGTTTGATGTAGCTACATTTGAATATTGAAAACAAGCGTTTAATTATTCATAATCAATTGAAAAAAAAACAGCACTGTAATAGGTATTGAAATATATGTGATATCATGTTACAAGTAATTAGAACACAACCACAACAAATAATCATCAACAAACTGGTGATTTGACAGCAGGTACTTGATATTGTGCTCCAGTTCTTCAATAACTTACATTGCAGAAAAAAACTGCCAGTAAATTCAATGAATCTCATTCATTCATTTTCTTGTCGGCTTAGTTCCTTCATTAATCCAGGGTCACCACAGCGGAATGAACCACCAACTTATCCAGCAAGTTTTTGTACAGAGGATGCCCTTCCAGCCGCAACCCATATCTGGGAAATATCCACACACACATTATACTACGGACTATTTAGCCTACCCAATTCACCTGTACCGCATGTCTTTGGACCCAGAGGAAACCCACACGAACGCAGGGAGAACGTGCAAACTCCACACAGAAACGCCAACTGAGCCAAGGATCAAACCAGTGACCCAGCCACCTTCTTGCTGTGAGGCGACAGCACTACCTACTGCGCCACTGCTTCACCTCGATGAATTTCCATAAATAAAATTACATCCGAATGAAAGCAGGCCTGGAACCCCGTAACTGACCAGACTTTGAGTTTTCCCTTCTGTCTTAAAGGGTACTCCGCATAGGGTCCTTACTGGTTTTCCAATGACACTTAGCAACTTTAAATCCGCATTCTTCATAATGAGCTGATTTTGAACGCGATGGACACAAAAACAGGAGTAATGTGAGCTGATTTCTGTTCTTAAATAAAAAAAAAGAAATATAATGTTTAATACAGCCTATATAATAGAATTTTATTTGACTAAATTAATGAAAATACTTAATGGACAGGACCCAAAATATTGATACTGATTGTTGTATTGGATTATTTGATCAAATACAATAATAATAATCATACATTTACATTGTTTACATTTACAATGACATTAATTACATAAAACACACTTTATTTATTAGTATTATTTTATTTTATTGAACTTAAATTTGTGTTGATTTATTGTTCTCATTATTGTTTATTATTTTTAAAAAATAATTATATATATTTTCTGTATTTATTTATGTTGTAAACCATAATACAATTAAAGAAATGTATTAAATATTACATATTTCCCCATTTTATTACTTAATAGCTACTTTTTTATTACAGATCAAGAGCATCAACCCTATCTATCTATCGATCTATCTATCTATCTATCTATCTATCTATCTATCTATCTATCTATCTATCTATCTATCTATCTATCTATCTATCTGTCTGTCTGTCTGTCTGTCTGTCTGTCTGTCTGTCTGTCTGTCTGTCTGTCTGTCTGTCTGTCTGTCTGTCTGTCTGTCTGTCTGTCTGTCTGTCTGTCTGTCTGTCTATCTATCTATATACTGTAGCAAACCATGCATTCATCCCCCCATAATAAGAAGTATCCACAACCTCTTGACTTGAGGGATTGAGTAGTTGTTCGGTGAAACAGAAGTAAATCATCATCGCTGACCCTGAAAACATGATATTATATGCATATTTACACCCTTTTATGCTAGTTTACCCCCTGGGATACACACATTCCTGCCCTGGTTTGAAAACATTCCTCAAAGAAGTACTCTCACAGCATTAGAAGACATATCCAAAAGCAAAGAGATTATAGGAAGCGCAATTATCTGATTTCAAAAGATCGGGTGCATATTTGTTTTTGATAAAGAGCATTAGTGAAAGGTGTAACTGCTTGAATAACATATATTATGCACCCCTCAGGGATCGGCCTTGTTTTGTTGGAATAGGCTAAGATCAGAACATTTGATTTAAAAGCAGTGAGTCATCACATTGACTAGCAGAAACGAGTTATAGGGTGAGTAAACTGTACAGAGTGTTTGTAACCTTATTATCTTTTGTAAAATAACCTTTTCCTACACTCCAAAATGGCATGGCTGTTTGTTCAAACTACTTATTTAAAATGAGCCGAAACAACACAATTCTTATTTGTTTCATGTTCGATCCACTTAAATTTTTCCAAAAACTAAAAAGTTAACTTAATTCCTTTATGTTTTCCCGACACAAATTGATTGTGTGGATCCCAGCATTTTTAAAGTGTGCTTTTTCTCATCAGAAATCATATTTATGATCATTTAAGACACAGATGGCTCTGCTGTATTCATACATATTCATTTCTTGGCATAAACGTGCTTATTTGGCTATTTTTGAATGACAATAAAAGTGCTAAATATGCTATTTCCAGTATGTTCAAGCACCATGGCTTGTGACAGCAGGCCAAAACTGTTTAGAAGAAGCTTATCACTGAAGAAACTTGGCTGAGTATAATAAGAAGCACAACTCATTAGGCTCAAGACTGTTTAAACAGACACTGATCAAATAAAAACTAAGATTGGTGTCCAAAAAAAATGGAGTAAAAAATATCAGAAATATGTAACTTTGTATTTTCGGTGACTGCAACTGGAGGTTATGGTTGGGGTTGATCTCAATACAAAAAATAGGGTCCTAAAACTAGTAATATACTACCCATGTTACGCACACAGAGACCATGCGAATATATTAACATAATTTACCAAGGATTATCTTTAATTTATGCAGGGTCTGTTCTTCGGTTGTAAAACTGCATGTTTCAAGGGGGCCCGCTAAAACTGTGTTTACATCCATGGAGAAGCCATTGTTTTCTATGTGTGTGTTTGTAAAACTTTTTTATGCAACCTAAAAGTGAATTCAGTAAAAGATAAATGAATGAAGTAAACACCTATACATGACCTTTTAATTTTTTTTTTTTTTAAAGAATTTTTTTCTTGAAATATGTTTACTTTAAAAGGGTTAGTCCACTCAAAAAAAGTTTTTTTTTTTTTTTTTTTGCCGTTAATTGCTCACCCTCAGGTCTTTACAATCAATTGAGAGCTTCGGAACACAAATGTAGAAACTTTAGATGAAATCAAAGAGCTCTCTGACCTTTATACAGCAATGATCCTGAGATGTTCCAGTTCCGAAAAAAATCAAGATAAGAAATCAAAAATATTGTTAAAACCAATAGTCTCATTCTGAATACGTAGTCCTATATACATTTCTGGAGATCACAAGTTATGTAGCCAGAGTTACGTAAGGCTGCATTTCATCTTTAAAACAAATGTTACGGGGGTTTATGATGCTGTTCCTTTTCTCACTTACCAGGTGACTGCTTACCTTTGTATGGACCGCTTTCACTGTTACCAGTTTGTCTTGTAGCTCGACATGTATGTTGATGTACTTGTGATCCAGAGTGGGGTTGTCAATCTGTGCTTTTTAGATCACTATTGGTTGGGTTTAAGATAAGTGGAGGTTGGGGGGATTGGTTGGTTGGTCAGTCAGTAAATCAGTCAAACGACAGCGGCCTCTGGTGAATCTACACGAGAACAGCAGGTGTGAATGGCACTCGCGAGAGAAACTGAGATCTGAAAAAGTGTACACAACGGCCTCTGGTAAATTTACAAAAACAAAAACTGCAAAAAAAAAAAAAAAAATGTTGCTCCTGGGACATATTTTGCTCTCTCCAGAAATATATATAGTGGAACAAAATCAGAATGAGTTATATGGAACCCTGCATTTTTTACAGTTTTAATTTATACAGATCTAAAAAAAGAAAAAGGAAAAAGCATATGCTTGCCCCTTCTTCACTGATTATAAGTACCATGGGTATGGGTATTAAGGGTACCAAAAGAAGGATCTAGACGCGCAGCTGATCGATAATTGTTTACAGAGATACATCATTCACTCGCACAACAAGCCAGAATGAAAACAAAGGCCAAGACATTACTCTGTAAAAATATATACATATAATAACCAGCCATAGTCGATCCAAGCTTAAACAAACCTTGTCGTCGTCTTGATGAACAGCCACAAAGCCATGAAGAACAAAATCTGCTATGCCCTGCTGTTGTTTTACAAGCCCGCCTAAAAGGGCAAGCAGTTTCACTTTGTCCAAAAAGCTCGGTCACATCTATATTTGAAATAACATACTTTTTGAGCTCATATTAAAAATGTACTCGTGATCATTGAAGTGCTCTGAAATCTACGGAACCCCGGAAGGGACGTAGTGGGGGAGAAAAAAAATGGGTGGGTGAAAAAAAATAATGGGTGAAAGAAAAAAAATGGGTGGGAGGAAAATATATATTTCTAAGTTTTTTGCGTTCTCTCGCAAAGTTTTGCGTTCCCTCGCAAAGATGTTTTGCGTTCCCTCGCAAAGATGTTTTGCGTTCCCTCGCAAAACTGTTTTTCCACAAACACTTCCTGTTCACTGCACTCACGTAAACCCTCCCGTTTTTGCCGAAATTCTCCCGTATTTTACCATTCTATCCCACTTTCTTTACATTACTGTGCGTATGCTACCTATGAACCAGTGAATGCATGTATAAGCGCTGACTGACAGACGCGCTTCGTACAATAAACTGATCCCAGATCAGCGTGTGTACACGCCATTTACAGAGGAGCGGGTGTATGTTTAAACAGACAAATACACTGAATAATATGAAAGATCTCCGTCCTGCATGTTTTATTTTAAACAACTTATTTTCTCTTAAATGAGCACAAACAGTTTCTAAAGTAATGGACTGCTTTCATTATAGATCTGTGCATTCTTACAGAGACACCTCTGTTATCAAACTAAACAAAACATGAGATTCATTTGCTGCGCACTTGTTTGATAACAGAAGTGTCTTTTTAAATGGCGCGTACAGACGCTGATCTGGGATCAGTTTATTGTACGAAGCGCGTCTGTCAGTCAGCGCTTAAACATGCATTCACTGGTTCATAGGTTGCAAAGTG